AGAAAAAAAAAAAAACGCTATGTCTCCAGAAATACACAATGAGCAAGTGGATGTCTGCCATCAAGGGATTCCCTGAATGACCAAAATTCAGCTCGATACTGTTTAAGTCCCTCTGGTCATTGATTTAACCCTTAAAAACTCCTCTCTGTTTATAGGATTATTTCCATGAAAATAATCCCTTCCTGTCCCAAGATGCCTTTGCGGTAGCGCTATACCACAGCGTCCTTTACAATGAGTGGATGTATAAAATCCTCTCTCTGTCCCAGCCGTCCTTCACTAGCTGCAGTTCGAGCCAAACATTGTAAAACTACTCTATGCAACAAAATGTAGTATTGAAGTAATTCAGCCATACATGTTCAAACCAGAAGGAAGAAGACAAAAAAATGGTACAGAAAGCACCACCCTACAAGTAGACAGGATTGGTTCTTTAGGTTTGTTTCATATAAATACCAGATGTTTTTCCGTCATCGGTACGCTGCAGAAATGCTCATCTATGACATTAACGGCTTATTTCGTTCGTGAGTCTTCTAGCATATAAGAAGCACTATAAAGTTTGAAATTGCTTCTTTATCAGAAGGGGTTTTTAAAAGAAAACTGATGGTTTATCAGGCCCCACCTTTCCAGCTAACAATGCTAATCCTGCCTGGTTGGTGCGTGATGGACTCACCAGCAGTTTTAAAAACTACAACAAGCAAGAACAATTTCTCAAGCACCAAACTAGAAGCTAAAACATCTTTGGTATTTCATGGGACTGCACTAATAAATTCAGGCTTAAACAAACCTCTTTTGAACTTCTCTTGCTGTTAGCCATACAGCTAATTAGCACAGCTGACAAATGTTTAGATAGCAACAAAACCTGAGATAAAGCTAAGATACAGTAATAATTTATACACACATTAGTATACTGCATACTGTATGATAGGCAGTTTGGTGAACAATAAATAAATTTAGGCTATAATTAGCCAGTTTAAGCTACAAATAGGTGTGTAAGTTAAAATATATGAGATTACTGTCAAATTAAGACAACAAAACCTAACCGGCAACCATTTACAATAAAGAAGCTAACAATTCTTTGTTACTTTCATTCACTAATTATGTAATAAAAGTTTGTTTTTGTTACAGAAGTATGAATTATGTAATACTGAAAGAGGATAACTCTATACCATCATGCTAATGCTACATTCAGACATCAGCACTATGTAGCAGCTACGTTAGCAAAGCAGAGATAGCAATGAAGAAGAAGGCTCAGAAAATACAGTCAACTGAAAATTAATTAGTGTCAAAGTAAAACTACGAAAGTTAACCAGGAAAAATTTACAATTTAGAGGCAATTTAGAAGTCAAAAATCATAAGAAGTTATAAAAAATGAAGTAATGAACTGTACATTAAATGGACTAAAAGATGTAAATGGGTAAACAAACAGAGAATTCAATAAATAAAATTAATTCTAAGAAGAAGAAGAAAAATAAATAATATCAAATCAATCAAAAGCCTGACTAAAAGTTAGGTCTTGAGTTTGTTTTTAAAAATATCAACACTCTCTGCTGCCCTCAGGTCTTCCGGAAGGCTGTTCCAGAGATGTGGGCTGTAATAGCAAAGTGCTGCCTTGTCATATGTTTTTTTTCTGGCTTTAGGTTTAATTAAAAAGCCACTACCAGAAAACCTGGGGGTTCTAGAGGGTTTCTAAGATAAAAGCAAATCAGATAAATGGACCAAGACTGTTAGAACTGCATAAACTAATAAAAAGGAACCTAAAATGAACCATCATGCATTCAGTAATTAGCACTAGCTGTTAAGTTAGCAAGGCAAGGTTCCCAAACAGAAGGCTCCAGCAAGAAACCGACATAGAATAGCTAAACCATAGCTTAAAAAACTGGCCAGCTTTATGTGTATGTTCTTTGGTACAAATGTTGGCTAACTGCTAATTTCCCATTATATTGATACAGCCCAATATGACAAATTACACAGCTAGTTCAAGGAGCTCAACGGCCTTCCTGGTTTGCTGTCGTTGGTATTAAAAACCACTTTATGGACATGATATACTCTCTGTCCCAGCTCAGTGGCCCTGGCAGAAAGGATACTAACTCCAGTGTCTGGTGTTCAAAGGAATAATGTGGGGAATACTGACCGGAAAAGCACAGATTGTATAATGTTATAAATGGGGGCCATATTGTGGGATTCCTCAGAGAAGCAGATGTGCTCCAGCTGACTTACTCTGTAATCCCACCTCACTCACTGATCCAACACACACACACACACATGCACACACACTCCAATTCACACACATGCAGTGCACACAGATAGAACATAAACAAGCTTTATCCTTTGATCATTGTGTGCAAAAAGAAGACATTACTGGCTGCAGAAGTCACTGTGAGCAGAAATGCACGGAAACTCGTGCGCAAATAAGCTAGCAGAGACGGAGGTCCTCATATAACATCAAAGAGCCAAAATGACAGAGTCTGTTTCAAGTAACATTGGCAATTCAAGTCTGTATTAACAACTACTGATCAAATAAGCAGCCTTTATACACACACACACACACACACACACACACACACATACACACAGTGGTGAAGGAAAGATGATCACTGAGCGGTTCCATTATAAAGAATTGCTCCTGACCAACCCATCAAGCATCCAATCCCCACTAATTGGAGACGAGATGGGATGCGTTATTACAGAGAAAGCTAACCTCTAACCACCTGCACTCTCAGTATGATGCTAGTTGGAAAGCTTGCAAATAAAGAGAGGCGTTCCATTTACAGGTTTAGCACAACTGCCATAAAGCAGCCACGATTGTTGGAAGTATATTCAGATTGTTTCTTTGCTGTAATCCCTAACCATGCTTACTTCTGCAATGCTGCTTGGGGACTCATAGTTAACTTCTGTACTAAGGATCCTGTTTTAAGTGGTGATTCAACTGGTGCCCATTCAAAAGCTGAAAATGGTACAGCAAATTATACCCATGCATTGAGGTTTTACTTTTCACAACCCTTGGTAACCAACAACATCCCTACTACTTTGCAGCACTAATTGTCTGAAAAGCCTATTTTTATATGGTTCAAAGTGGGAAAAAGATAGCAAGCATGAAAACATTTAGCTGAGCTAGCTGAAGGTCCTCCAAGGCTGAATCGACTATCGTGCACCATATCTGCTATTCAGTTGCTCATATATGGGATCAGAAAACATAATTTAAACATTTAAGCAGCAAAACTTGCCACAAATGGTGCACAAGGGTTTTGTTTCCACTTCAACTTTTTGGAACTTTTGCCATTGATCAGTTATACAGCTTAACCACGCTGACCTTTGAGGGAAAGGAGCACTTAGTGCATAGCAGAAGAAGGTATTAAGGTCTACTCGCATAATCTCCTTTTTCATATTCTATATTGCTTATATAACTAGAGTCAATGGCACAAACACCTAAATCTCTTGAATAAACGTCATTGTCTGTTTCACAACCAATCCAACTAGCAGGCAGCTAGCTTAGGACTGGGACTGACTGTGGCTAGTATGCAAGCATTAGCTAGCTAGTTAGCGAGCCGCCATCAATGCAGAATGCCGCAGTCAGAACAGTACTTGTTCATGCTACACGTCGATCAGCATCCACTGATACTGTTACATCCATCCATCCATTATCTATACACCGCTTAATCCTCACTAGGGTCGCGGGGGTGCTGGAGCCTATCCCAGCCGACTTAGGGCGAAGGCAGGGGACACCCTGGACAGGTCGGATACTGTTACACTCGAGTTTCTTTCAAAAACATCCGATATTTAAGTGGCACCCAATTTTTGTGTGTCATCAGAGAAGCATACATCCACCCATAAATCACAATCTTTCATCTCAACCTACTTAGTAAAATTTGAATTTCAAAAAAAATGAAAAATACAGCTTTGCCAGAGAGCATTTCAACAGTACATATGGCAGTATTCAGAAAAAAACAATCAAACTTTGTTGGTAAGCGTTGGTGAGTGTTATAGATATAGATGACACCAAATGACTGCTGCCACACTTCTAGTTTTATGTTTTCATGGGAGTTGTTTCTTCTGTGTAATCACTGTTTTAAAAAATATTGCAATTACACCACGTTGTTGAAACATGTTTGATTTTCAAACCAACCAACTAAACATAAACTTCATTTGCCATTTCTGCTGCAATTTTAAGACCTTTGACGTGTGAATTTTGTCATTTTTAAGGACAATTAGGGCCTAAATGGACACCCTGCAACAAATCCTAATGCATTGTTCATCTCGTTTCCATGTGAAATTCCAGACACATGTGAGAAGAACTTGAAGTGAAATATGTCACGCACACAAACTCATGATGGAAGTCATTTCTCCAGACAAGCAGTTTGGCAGGAGATCCAGGCAGACCGTAAAAAGCATCTGAATCCAGTCTTGAGCCAGCGACTCTACGGAGGAGGAGGACGGCAACCTCAGCTAGTCTAATGACTCAACCGGCAATGGAGTGGACTTATCAGACAGCCACGTCCATCTTTACAGCGGAAGCCATGCAGTAGCTGTCTGGTAGATGACAGACAGCGAGTGTGTGTGTGTGTGTGTGTGTGTGTTTAACAGGAAACAAACTCACTCAGAAGGTAAGAAGTGTGGCTACAATACAGTTTCACTGACATCAGCTGAGGCATATTTCCTAAATATAAATTTAAAAGTCTAAAAAAGGTGCCTGTGCAATTCCTTTCCACTTAGAGTATTATACAAATTGCATAATAATGGCTTGAGTCACACTTGCAAAAGATAGTCACCGCAGCGCCGGTTTATCTTTTATACCGTTGACTCATCCGAGGTGTAAAATGGATTTCACTACAAACACATGAATATGAGGCTTAAGAACAGACTGCTGATTGGAGGTTATGTGCCACTGAAATGACGCTAATGTGACGCAAAAGCAACTATTAGCTTGCATTTTTTAACTCTTAATGGCAGGTTTAATTTCCATATTGTCTGGGTGGTTTTGAGCTGGCGGTTGAATAACAACTCACCGGACGTCGTTTTGCTGCGGAGGTTTCTTCTGCCCAACCAGGTTCACCGTTCTTGCTTGGATGGGCTTCTCTTCTCTGAAACACACAATGTCAGAAAAACAGAGTTAGTGCAACACTTGGCTGTTACTTTGTTTTGGTTTTTAATACGTTCCCTGCACTTTTAATCACTCAGTATACAACAAACAATGTTTAGCTCAGAGAATTCAGTTAGACTCATAAGATAACTAAGTTCCATTTGGACACACTTCACTATCCTGTAGACTTGTGGCCTT